CGCCTAAGAACTGCTGCAGAGATATTGACACGATGGCGATGATTTTTGGCTCTGTATTGTGACAGGTGATGAAAGCTGGTTTCACCATTTCGAGCCTGAAATGAAACGGCAGAGTATGGAATGGCACCATTTGCATTCTCCATCAAAAAAGAAGGCAAAGACAGTGCCATCAGCTGCGAAGGTGATGGGCACAGTCTTCTGGGATGCAGAGGGGTTTATTCTGGCCGAATTCCTGGAACCTGGGCAAACCATCAATGCTGCTCATTATGTCCAGACGCTGCACAAGCTCCGTCGTGCATTGCGCGATAAACGTCCGGGATGAAACATCATCATCCTGCATGACAACGCTGGCCCCCATGCTGCTTGCCTCACATTGGAAGCAATTGCAAAGATGGGATGGGAAGTTCTTCCACACCACTCCTATAGCCCTGATCTGGCACCCTCTGACTACCATCTTTTCGGTTTTATGAAGGATCAGCTGTGTGGGCAATATTTTGAGACAAGGGAGGCAATTCAGAAAGCAGTGCGTCAGTGTCTTCAGATGGCTGGAATGGAATTTTACAGAAGGGGAATTTTCCAACTCCCAGAACGCTGGGAGAAATGTGTACAAAGAAGTGGCGATTATGTGGAAAAATAAAGAAAGGTCTGTAGATTGAGGTGGTGTATTTGGTTTGTCAATAATAAAGCATGTTACTTTACAAAAAAATGTTGCTCATGACTTTCAGTACGACCCTCATACTTCCTTACAGTATCCACCAGATTTGAATATACAAACAATTTTACACAGTATCAGACTTTAATCTTTCACAATGGTGAAAAATCTTATTCTGTTCTCCTAAGTTATGACACTGTGTTGCCTGATAGATGGTTACCAGAGAACATACTGCCCCTGGCTTCAACAGACCAGCCAGAAGACCATGAAGGAATTTTACATAAAAACTGATATAAGGCATAATGTTACATTGCAGCATCCTGTTGCACTGCTTAGATCTGACTTTGAGTTTTGCTTTGATGCCGTCTGTGTGCAACGTCAGTTAACATTCTACCCAAAACCTGAATCAGGATGCCCTGGAGAACACATTTGGGGCTATTCATTCATACTGTGGTTCAAACAGTAACCCAACTGTGGGACAGTTTGTAGATGCCCTGAAGACTAGCATCATCAGTGTCCTTGCTTTTAGAGGTCTGGGTGAAACTAATTGTGAGGATGATGGTGCTACTCTTCTGGATAATCTAAAATCGTTTTTCATGCCACCTGAAGCTGCTTCACGAAATCCATCCACAAGTCATGGCAAGGAAACCCCTGCTGTGGGCCTGAACGTTTCCATGTTACTCAGCAAGTACAGAAGGACCTGAGTGCTGCAGTACCTGCTGGTGACATGGAAAGTGTTCTTAGTAGCCTATGTCAGTGGTTCCTTTGCCAGACAGGTGCTTTGTGGTGTAAACTGTGATGCATGCAAGACATGCCTGACATCTGAAGTGCTGCTGTCAGCCGATGTCTTCATATATTTCAAGGTGTACAGTGATACAGAACAGTCTCTCACATATCCTTCTGAGAAGTTGGTGGAGGCTGTTGGTACAGCTGTAACTCTAATGGAGTCGCATGATGGCAAGGGTGGCCCACTTGAATTCAGTGGAGCAGCATATCACAAGTGCCGTTAAGAGCACCATTGACTTTGAGTGGATAGGGTGTACTGGTTGTTCACTTCACCACCAACGAATAGTAAACGGTATTGTGAGCTGTCTCACAAGAATTTAAATTCCTTGGTGGTGTAAGCGGACAAACAGGTTGATGACTGAAGCAGCCAGGCAGAGGGCTACAGAGAGGAAGATGAAGATACTGACACATCATTAAGTCATTAGGAAAGTAATGCTTCTTCATTTTTCCCTTATAACGTCCTGCCCATACCAACCCTGGAAATTGACAAGAGAGCATTTATGGAATTACTGGAAGAATATGTGTGCCAGCTAGTCACATGAGCTTCATTAGATGTTTCATAAGTTGGAGAAAGTAACCCTGGTGACAAGCAGTTGCAGTGCAGCAACAGAAACTGCTGTGCAGTGAATTATAACATCGTCATCCACAGTTCAATTACATACAAGAACCCTATTTTGAACTTGAGCTCTATCTCTTCCCCGCTTTGCCAACATGTTGCAGTGAATGATAACATCGTCATCCACAGTTTGATTACATACAAGAAATTTATTTTGAACTTGAGCTCCATCTCTTCCCCTCTTTGCAAACAGGTTTCCTTTGTCTCAGAATATTAGAACTTCATTGAGTCAGAGTTCATTCTGGCCTTTATCTTCAAGTAATTATATTTCAATCGAGAATTGTGTGGGAAATTGTTTTCTGACACACATGGGCCTTGTTTATGTGTAGGTAAGAATGAAGAGGCATTAACTATTTATGTAATTTCTTTACCTATTTTATTTTTGTTGCATTGTTATCCTATTGTTATAGGTGTATTCCTTCTCCTACTTTTGCCATAAAATCCCACCTGTACTGAACTGGCGAACATGAACATAAGATTTTCAATAGTAATTGCATTTCTTTAAGACATATTATTAATTTTTGCTATATAATCATGTCCAATACTGAACTGGAAGATGGATAGATACCAGATTTTTAGCATTCATTGTATTTTCATAAGATATGTTACTTTTGCCATATAATCCTCTGCGGTACTGAACTGGAAGATGAATAGATACCAGATTTTCAGTATTCATTATATTTCTCTAAGATATGTTGTTCTTTTTCCATATAATCTGCAGTACTTAACTGGAAGATGAATAGATACCAGAATTTCAGTATTAATTATATTTCTTTAAGATACGTTATTTTTTCCATATAATCTGCAGTACTTAACTGGAAGATAAATAGATACCAGATTTTTAGTATTCATTATATTTCTTTAAGATATGTTATTATCTTTGCCATATAATCCTTTCCATTACTGAACTGGAATATGTTGTTATATTTATCATATAATCCTTTCCATTACAGGCCCAATAGATCACTGTGATCGCGGTGCAAGGGCCAAGAAGGCCCACCCCTTATGCATTCATTCAGTTACAGTACTGGTATGTGAATAGATACCAGATTTTCAGTATTCATTATATTTTTTTAAGATATGTTGTTATTTTTGCCATATAATCTGTTCCATTAATAAACTTGAATATGAATAGATACCAGATTTTCAGTTATGTCTGTAAGATATGTTGTTATTTTTGCTATATAGTCCTTTCCATTACTGAACTGGAATATGAATACATACCAGATTTTCAGCATTTATTACATTTTTGTGAGATATGTTATCTTTGCCAAATAATCCTCTCCATTACTAGACTGGAATATGAAAAGGTTCAAGATTTTCAGTATTCATTATATTTCTGTAAGATATATTATCATATTGTATCGTGTTTTTGCTACTGAAGATGCCGTTCTGCCCAGTACTGAACTGGTGAAGATGAATATATCAGATTTTCTTATATCATTAAATGCAGTCTTAATCTTGTTGGCAAGAGTGTATTTCACGTTCTCGAGTTCCATCATTCTAATGAAATTAATAATAAATGGGGACCTAAGTATTGTTGCTTACAATACATGATTTATGATACTTAAATGTACAATCCATGTATGTTACAGTTCACAATGTTCAGTGCATTTGGTAAAGAGGTGTTTCATGTGAAAGAAAAGTTATGACTTCCCAGGCACTGGTGAGAAACTTTCTCCAGATAAATAATTTGCAACCTCTTGTACTGCAAAGGCTCTTATTCCATTTATATATATGTATATATAGCATTTCACTCAAATTCAACCCAAAGGATGTGGTTGAAGTGACAATGAACACAGTTAAAAAAAAGTTGGGGGTAGGGGGTTGGTAAAAACCTCTGCAGTACAAGAGATCTGGTAGTGAAAGTGTTTATTGCTATTCTGGCGAAAAACTCATTCCGGTTGGCACTCAAAAGCAGGTGCTATGTTAGCATACCTTCTTACCGATTGTGCTTTAGGCCACTTTAAATGTAGTTAGTGTAGGATGCGTAGAGATGGCAGCAGTAATGCACCCGGGGTGTGTTGGCCCACCAATAACGGAAGAGTTTCACGGGGATGTTCTGGATTTTCTGGTTAGGTCACACTTATGAGATAAGATTAATTGCGATAGGTGTATTATGATCGATTATAAAAATTTCCAGTCTACCTAGTTTATGTAGGATGCGTAGAGATGGCAGTTCTGCATGTTTCCCCTTCCCCCTAACCCAGTTTCTAATCCCTGGGCCCCATGGGACAACGCCCAGCGATTGTGATAGGTTCACACATTTGCGATTCGATTCATATCGATAGGTGTCATGTGATTGGATGCAGGCCAACCTGACTATGTAGTTACGGTGAGATGTCTAGAGATGTCAGTAGTTTCGCATGTTTCCACTTCTAATATCTTAGATTCTAGGGGGTGCTGTAGAACACATGCAGTCAGTATAAAGATGGCGGACGTCGATAAGTGGATTGATATAGCTAAGGAGTGTAAATATCTCCCAGAAAACGACTTAAAGGTAATAAATAGTACATTTTGCAATTATTACCCCCCCCGTACGGATATAAATTGTGTGAAAAAGTGCGTATGCAAATTATATAATTGTATTGGGCTACTAACCTCTTCTCATTTACAGAAACTTTGCGATATGGTTTGTGATCTTCTGCTGGAAGAGTCAAATATTCAGCCAGTTTCAACTCCCGTAACAGTATGTGGAGATATTCATGGGCAGGTATGACCTCAATTGTCAGAAAATCTGTAATGTCATCAGAGTGCATCTTTAAAACGTTATAACTCTCAGATCTCTCATCACGCATGAACTATAGTAATTTATTTCTGTTTATTTCCGGAAACTGCTTTACGTTATAGTCATCAAATATACCTGTAGCTAAATTTGAAGTTTATTCTCTTTACCAAACCAAAAAGTGTCCTTACCATCCCATTCCTGCAGAATTTAGGTTTTAAAATATTAGGCCTGACTCAAATCCTTCTGGACATCATATTGGATACAAATTTACAAAGACAAACCAACTCCGTCCAGTGTGACTATTTAAGTTTTACTACTTGAAAACATAGTACCCTTGTTTCGATCCCTAGGGATCATCTTCAGAGGGAACATCGATACTTATTTGGAAACTACTATCACAATGGTGTTCGGAGTGCTAAATTGCATATACACACAATGCCTGGAATACACAATATACACATAATCCAATTTTTCACAATCACAGCAGCTTTCGTGGTATTGAAGTTTTTAAAACTTTGTTGTTTAAGTTAAAATTTATAAGCCAAGTAGGTTCGTGTCACTTCTCCTATCGTCTTTCTTGAAGGGGGCTGAACTTGTGCCGCCTGTCTATCTTGAGAAGGAGATTCTTGTTCATGTGTTTGTTCATGGCATGCTGTGTTGTTTTCCCTCTGACGATGATCCGTAAGGATTGAAACATGTAAGGATACTAAGTTTTCAAGTAGTAAAACTTAAATAGTCACATTGGACGGAGTTGTTTGGTCTTTGTAATTGTTAGTGTGACGGACCAGAATGAAACAAATCAGATATAAATTTATTTACATGCTGTGAAATCTGCTTACAACTAAGATGTGCAGTATTTTAATATAAGTACAGTAATTTATGCAAATATGAATATAAATACATAATTACAGCTGTTTATGTATATTTCATAAGAGCATAATGCAAAGCAAAATAAATATGTCATATATTTAATTCATAGATAGATAGGTAGATACAGATGCACAGTTATTACAATAGAGTTTCTGGATGGGATTCAAATCCACATTCCAAAACTTTCTTGCCATCAGCCCCATTGAGCCAATGAGGTCAGCCCTCAGTACCTTGATATTTCCCCCATCTACCAGAGGCATTGGAAACTACTTGGGCAGGAAATAATTTTGCTCAGAGGTCTCCTAGAGACATGAGGTTCTTTTACGTGCCGTAAATCTACGACACAGGACCCACGGCTTAAAGTCTCTCCTGGAGGACTTTGTTCCCTGAATTTTTCTGCCCTTAAAAATTCCATGACCTCTGCCGGGTTTGAACCCACGTACCTTGAGTCATGAGGTGGGAACGTTACCCCTAGACTACGGAGGCCGCTTAATTTCAGAGTTACTGTTTCTTGTAATGTTTAGCAACTATATGTAGTGACATTGACAAGGAAACGATCTTATCCTGGGCAAAGAGTGGATACGTCTGTTTGTCTAAATTATAGGCTTGTAAGTGATAAAATAATAAAAATTACTTTGTCTTAGAATTTTATAAATGAAATATCCATGCACTTCTTCACACACTATACTTTCATCCACAATACAACTCATTTATCATCGCCTTCTTCTTTTCTTCACCATGTGTTTCGGCCATATGCAGCCATCAACAGGTGTCTCTATTTGCTAAAACTATCTCACTGTGTAGTATGTGCAACTTCACCTGTCACATGTGAATGTAATATCTCATACTTAACATAAATGTACCCTATTGAAATCATTAATAATCAAACAAAAGCCTGATTAAAATTTTGATGGTTTTGCTTGGGGCTGTCATGCTTTTATCCAATTATTATTGTGTTTGAATTCATATTGCAGCAACATGCATGAAGAGATAAACATAACAAATGGCATTTACTAAATGAAATGCCTGGATTCTCCACTGAAATGCATCAGGCAAATGCGACAGATTTTTAACATTACATATAAGGAACATATCTATGATATCAGAAGCAACAGTAGCTAACTCTGGATATTCGAACCACATACCGAACACTGGACTTACATATGGAACCATATGTGATACTGAGGATGTTATAACAGTGGGAAGGAAGGGAATGCATTTGAATATCTTGGAAAGGTATCACATTTGTAGAATTGGTAAAGACAACCTACGTATGAAGGACATGTATTGATACACGTAAGCCCATATTGGAAACGTTGCATGAGCTTTACACAAGATAGCAGCACACACACCCCCAGACATGTTATAAAAGTGGGATTAAGAGCACTGATATTCATATGGTATATATACATGGAGCGAAAACAGTGCTACTAACTGGCAGGATGAAGAACACAGTCAGAGGGGCATATGTGCGTACAAAGAAGTAAACTAACATAGAAAAAACAATATATAACAGAATTAACACTAATAATATGTTGTTTACATATTGCAGGTGACAACTGCACCAATACGATTGGGAACTACGTATACACAACACCCATGCCACCACTGCAAAATGAACCCAAACACAATGATAGTTGGATAAAAGGACAAAAGCCCCCAAGAAAAAAATATCAAAATTTTAATTAGGCTTTGATTATTCGTGATTTTTAGCGATTTTTAGTAGGGTACATTTATGCTAAGTGTGAGATATCACATTGCCATGTGATAGGTGAAGTTGCACGTACTACACGGTGAGACAGTTTTAGCAAATAGAGACACCTGATGATGGCTGTGTGTGGCTGAAACATATAGTGAGGAGTGGGAGATAATAAACAAGTTGCAGTGTGGATGGAAGTATAGTTTGTGAATGAAGAGTATATTAATGCAACAGGATGCTTAAGTACAGTATTATCCATGCATTTAGTCAAAATGCTGTGTATATTGTTTCAAGTTTTGCTTTTTCAGTTCTATGACTTGGAAGAACTATTTCGTAATGGTGGACCTGTTCCTGATACAAATTATATCTTCATGGGAGATTTTGTAGATCGAGGTTACTACAGTTTGGAGACGTTTACAAGGCTGCTCACTTTGAAAGCCAAGTGGTCTGACCGCATCACACTCCTTAGGGGAAATCATGAATCTAGACAGATTACACAAGTGTATGGGTTTTATGGTGAGCTGTATCTAAGTATAATCTGAATACCAAACAGTGCTGCATGTAACATATTTTAATAGTTCTCCACTATTATATGAAACTTTCTTTCAGATGAATGCCAGAATAAATATGGAAATGCAAATGCTTGGAGGTACTGCTGTCGAGTATTTGATTTACTGACTGTTGCTGCGGTTAGTATTACTTATTTTGTATTCAGTTTATTTGCAACAGTTGTATTTTCAAGGAAGTTTGTTAATAATATGGTATATAATATTGTGGAAAGAATGATTTTATGAAATACAGCTGCCAATAAGAACAGATCTCTTCCTAGTAATTTCCAACCTATGAGTCATGCTTCAGTTTTTATGAAAGAAACTGAGCTTGTTTATTTAAAGGACTCTTTTTATAATCTTTTCATAAAATGTTAGGGGCACATTAGCATAGTTGGTTAGGGCACTATCCTACAAGCCGGAAGGTCACAGATTCAATTCCAGATGAGCTCATTGAATTTTTCAATTTACCTAATCCTTCCAGCCAGAATATGATCCTAGAGTGAACTCAGCATATAACAGAAATGGGTACCAGGAATCTTCTGGGGTTAAAGGGTGGCTGGCACGTAAGGCTGACAACCTAACTGCCATCTGTGAGCTGATTGTCTAGAAAGTGTGAGAACCTCAACATCTCACATCCAAATGGGCCTCCATGGCATGTTACAGGGATTACTTTACCTTTTTTATAAAATGGTGTGATCTTTCAAAATAACTGTTGTGTCTTGTGGCAGGCTTTTGTATTAGAATTATTGAACCCTTAGGATTTACTGTACTTCAGTCAGAACGCATGTGAACAATCGCAAGGCAGTTAAAAAGCATATTTTACAATATACCAACTGCTCTATGTACATTTTTAATCTCATCACATTTAGAGATATAAAGTACATGTGTATATAGTAACAACTTCTGTTCAGAATGAGTTTATGAATACATATTGTTATTTGGCCTACATTCTTCCATCAGTTTTCATCCTTAATTATGATCTCAAGTGGAGATCATACCTGACATTGGAAAGCACAGCTTTAGTATTTTCTGTTGTATCATCTATACCCAAGAATCATGGATTTTCTTTCACCAAGATGTAATAAACATAATTACCCATTCACTGCCATTATGTATCCTGTTGATTCTTGCAAGGGGTTTTAACTATCGGCTTGCTTTAAGCTTTTATTTTGTTTTGCCATGTATAGTTCAACCTGGACCTGTATGAGCTTCATAGCATTCAGCCCACAGTGATATGTCAAAAGGTAGAGTGCTGTCTCTTCTGGCCATTTCATCAGTGACAGTCTTATCATATGTACATCTGTACTTAGAAATGGGGCTTGTCATCTCTACCTTCAAAAGTTGTTCACTTTTCAGTAGGATATATTTTAGTTTGAGCAGCCTAAAATGCCCTTTTTATTCCAAGATATCATAGGAATCTTTTATGTGGTCACTGTGTGATACAGCACATTTTTGTTATCTAATTAGAACCAAGACTAGGTAGTATTTTTGGAACCACTTGTAAAATGGCTCTCTTGTAATTTCTTGTTGAACAAGATTCAAATACTCACTGTATTCACTGTCAATGTGCACTACAGTCAGTTGCTGTGTGTACCTAGAGGGAATTTTTAGTCCTGTTGAAAGTCCTTTTAAGAAAGTATCCTTAGCAAACTTGTCCTTTAATCTTGCAAAACCATCTGTGCGATGTGGTTTGCATTATTGTAGCTTTGGCTTAAAAATAGATGGTTTTGTCCTCGGCATGATGTCACTTAATGCCTTGAAGATATTTCTTGAAGGCAGCTGTTTTTTTTATACACTTGTTAGATTTAAAGTCTATGTTGTATAAAGGTTCATCCTCTGGAAATTGGGACGTTTCAAATCATTATTCACAAGAGTTAGAATTTTGTCCATTGTAAGTATTTTGTTACTTAAGTAAAAACCTTTGCAATTTTCTCATCATTTCTCTCTCACTCATCAGTGATCATACTATTATTTTCCTTTTTTGTTTCATTGTTGTGAGTGAGTGAAACTGGACAGTGGATTTATATTGTTTTGAATGTGTAACTCAGTGAGTGAGGGGTGGACCACAGTAGCTCATACACATGAACATCAGCAATCTGTTGTCTCTCTCTTTCTTGTCAGCCCCTGACAGTCGCTCACTTCAAATGAGGTATAGAATTTTAAACTTTATAGATTGCATCCTGTTGTGTATATAATATTTAATTACTTATAACTGTCGATGCTACTAACAAAGTGGGGATATTTTCAGTGAAAATAACAGATGTTGGTGTATTTTTACTTGTTTAATGTAAACATAACTGTGCTACATGTTTCTACATGTTTATGCAACCACACTAATATCAACAAGGGATCAACATTAAGACCAGTGTTTTCAAAACATCCAGGCTTCTATGTTAGTCCAGGATAGCAGTGAGAAGCAAGAAGAAATTATGATCTGATTTTACACGGTAGACTACATGAATTATATAACGTTCTTCTCCATTACAGCCAGGCTTCCACATCAATCTAGGATAGCAGTGAGAAGTAACAAGAAATTGCAGTCTGATTTTACACGAAACTTAGTACATATAAAGACAGCAAGCACGTATTAACTCTTTGACTGGCGCGGGCGTGTTTTAACGCCCGGACGATGCCAGCCGTTCCCTGGCGTTGGCGTGTTTTAACGCTTTGACAATCTCGTCCCTTCTTTGCTCTCTTGGCACTCATCAACCAAAGACATATATATGATTGTTTTTGTGCATGTTTGTAAAGAACCCTTGTAAACTTTGTGGGGGTCTATATTACTGTCAGAACCCTCTGAGAAGGTAAAGGTCAGAAAATATTTCACATTCATTCAGTTTCACCATAGCTTCTTGCAGCAAGTGTCTTCGTGTTCCTACAGACCAGCTGGAAAATGTTGTGAATGAGATTTTTTCTGATGATGATAGTGGCGATGAAATAATGATTCCTGAATTGGATGAAGTTGATAGTGACAAAAATACAGTGATAGACAATGATCCACAAGACAGTAATCATGAACATTTACCTACCACGAGTGCGGTGCCTGACACGCCCATCTCATGAACGTACGGAGACATTGTACCCCCAATATTTCCATTTGCTAATAGTTTCGGG